CTCACGATGGGGCGGCGGCGGCGCCTTCCTGGGCGGCCACGCTGAGTGACTGAAGCTCTCCTTTCTCCCCGGGTGCAGCGGGACACTAAGCGCCTTCACCACGATCTACCGAGAAGAGGGTGTCCTGGGCTTCTTCGCGTGAGTGCCAGCGGCTGCTTCCGAGCTCGCTGTGGGGCTGGATCTGGGAGGGGGGTCGACACTGGGGAAGGGAAGCGACTCACGTTCCTGCTACCCCTTCTCTTGCAGGGGCCTCATCCCCCGGCTCCTCGGAGACATCCTTTCGCTGTGGCTCTGCAACATGCTGGCCTACCTCATCAACACGTACGCCCTGGACAACGGGGTACGCGCTCGGAGCTCTCGCTCTGACGGCGCCCTGGAGCGGGACCGGGGGACTCTGCCTGCGTCACTGGTGTTTCGGTGGCAGCAGGCCCAAGGGTGCCAGCGAGTGAGGGCTGCAAGGCAGGGAGGGAGCTCAGAGCATGGGGGTTTGAAGACACTTCTTGTCACTCGCAGGTCTCAACCATGGCTGAGATGAAGAGCTACTCGCAAGCAGTCACTGGAGTGAGTACAGCCCCTCCGCGTGCACGCGTGCGTCTCTGGGGGTGGCTGGACAGAATCGAGTCTGTTCTCTGGCAGGGGGAAAACAGTGATTCCCTGGAGACAAAAGGGTGACAACCAAAGTGCCCATCTTGCTGCTGCTGTCCCTGGACAGGGAGCAGCCTGCAGAGGAGCTGCTGCTCATGGAGCACTGCGAGCTGCTCCTGCATGGGGCACATGCCATGGTCTTGGCTTCATCTCTGCATGGTCCATCCCTGCATGTGCCTCAGGGGCTTAACCAGCAGCATGCAGGAGAGGGTTGCCTCCTGGCTGTGGGGGGACGAATCCGTGGGGACTTGTCTTTCTCACACTTTCCACGCAGGAAGAGGGTGCCAGCAGGGCAGGGTGCTGTGGGGAGGGATCCCTGCTGGATGCCAGGGCCGCGGACAGATCCCAGAGGGGCTGGGGGTGCCCAGCGCGGCTAACCAGCCCTGCCTCTCTGTTGCAGTTCTTCGCCAGCATGCTGACATACCCCTTCGTGCTGGTCTCCAACCTGATGGCCATTAATAATTGTGGGTGAGTGCGCTGCCACCGCCTCCCTCGCTAGCGCGTGCGTCTCGCCACCTCCCTGCTGTCCCATCCGGGCCTGGCCCCGGCCCCGTTGCGCAGCAGTTCCCTCTGCAGCCCTGAGAGAATGTGTCCGTGCCTGGAGACACCACTTGGAGCTGGGGAGTGGGGTCTGGGCGCTGGGGGCGGCCGAGGGATGTGTCTTCATTCCCCGGGGTGCTCTCCTCTCCTCTGCAGACTGGCTGGCTGCCTCCTGCCCTATGCACCTACCTACTCGTCTTGGCTGGACTGCTGGAGCCAGCTGCACAAGGAGGTAAGTGTCCACGCTGGGCAGTGCCACTGGCCTGCCTGGCTACTAGCAAGGGTAGACGGGAGCCCCACGATGCTCCAGGGCCTGTGTCCTGCCCCACCACGAGCCCCCGCAGCGCGAGGGCTGGCGTCACGGCCCCCACTCCGCACGGAGCTGACCACTCAAAGGTGGAGGGTTGTCCCTCGCCAACAAGTCACTGTGGGGTCAGGGGCCCTGTTGTGGATGGGGGCAGCCCTGGTTCAACCAGGGGTAATTTTCTCCTCTTCTAGGGCAACATGAGCCGAGGGAACAGCCTGTTTTTCCGCAAGGTGCCCACAGGAAAGCGATATGTGTGGGAGGAGAGGAGGTTTCGCTGAAGCTGGAGCTGTGACTCGAGTCCCAGAGTTGATGCTGGGCTCCAGACACACAGAATCATGACAGTGGTGATTTCTATACAGTTCTCTTTTTTTTGTTTGTTTTTTTTTCCTTTTTTTTTTCTTTTTTTTTAAATCATCTAATCCTGAGAGTCCAAGGCAGCTGTGTGAGAGTGTCTGTCATGGGTCCATGGGCTTCCTCATGGTGCGGTGAGGGGGAACGCTGTCCTGGGTGGAGATGTCACTCCTCAGCTCTGGGTGCAGCCAAACACGTTTTGTCCTGGCCTTGCGGGATCCCCTTGCCTGAGCCAGGGTAAGGGCCACAGTGTGGACGGGGGCCCTGTCACCGGGGCCACATGCCCTGAAGACGTGCAGAGTCTTCGACTCCAGGCCAGGGTTCTCGCAGTGGAGGAGAAAATCCCTTCGGGCTCGTGCCAGCAGAGCCCCGGCGCGGTGGGGATTAGCCTGTTAAATGTAATCCTGCAGAGACGGCGCCCATGGCTCCCATGCGCGAGGCACAGAGATTATCCCTGCAGTCAGGAATCAAAGACTTCAGTGACTTGGGGATCAGCTGTGCTGCGCTGCAGCCCAATGGAGCTGACGGTCACTCCCCCTTCTCATGCTTCTGGACTCCCTCCTATTCCAGCTCACGCACCAACAAACAGAGCAGCGTCCCTGCTACAGCTATGCCAGGCGTCACGTTTTGGACTTTGCCTGGGAGGCAAAGTCTCTGCTAAGGACTAGCGTGAGGAGATGGAGGTTCGTGTTTTACGCAAGCTCAAGTGCCAAAAAGGGGGCAGAGGAAGCAGCTGGCACGGAGGAACCTCCCTCCTGGGACAGGGCCATAACATGTGGCCAAGCCCTGAGCGCTAGCCGTGCCTTTGGGGCAGGTCCTGCCCACGAGCAGCGGCTGGGGTTGTTGGGGTCCCATCTTCTCTGCCCTCATTTAAGCGAGACTGTCATGTGGCAGTAAAATAAGACAACATGATGTCCCTGGTGCAGCAGCCAGCACAAGGGAACAGGCTGAGGGAGCAGCTGCCCCTGTTGCAGCTGAGCGGGTCCTGTGCCCCGTGCTCTCTGTGGGACTTGCTGGAGCGTCCCCCAAGGCAAAGCAACAAGGGGAGATGATCCCTCAAATGCCAACTTTCGGGGAAGCAGAAAGGCGCCTTGGTTTTAGGATTGCTGCATGGGCTCCAGCAACCTTTACGCTGCTTCCCGCTGTTAATCCCAGGAGTTTCTCAGCCTCAAGCCCACTTAGGGCTTTGCTTCAGCTGAGGAAATTCCTCCATGGGCTGGCAGTGCCTGGAAAAAAATAACCATGAGAACCAACCCACGTGTTTTCAAAGGGCAGCTCTGCGAATCTCCCCCAAGAAGGGACAAAGGCTGCCCCAAATACTAGGTCAGTGGCCAGACCGGCAGGGGGCTTACCAGGCCA